CTTTTATCAAAAAAGCAGCTTAATTGCTCTTTATAATTTACCATCATGAAACAAATATTCACTAGAGATGAACAGATTGAAAAATAAAAATTTATACTGATACTCTATTACACCATAAAAATTTATTCCACTTTAACTGTCTATAGATAGAAACAATAAAAATAAATCGAGTATTTTTAATAAGAGTGGAACATGACCATAAACTATTTGTAGCAACTTCTGTCATTTAATCTACTGTTATTCAAATTAAAGAGTAGATGTTTCAGTTGTTAAAACAGGTTTGAATACGACAATATAGCCTTTGATTGTGCTCTCTTATGAAACAAAAACAGTCAATTCTTACTTATTTTTTTAAAAAGTACAACCATTTAGAAATAACATTAATAATTGTGAAACTCTGAAAGCTGAGCTTGCCTGAAACCAATCATGTATATGTTATGGATTTAATGTAATTTATTAGTAAATACATATACTTAGTGTTTTAGAGATAAGCTTGCTTTTAAATTTTCAAATGATATCACTGATAGACCAGATAGAAAAAAGTTTAAAGTAGAAAAAAGGTTGTTTAAATTTGTCTTCTGTGTTGCTTGTTAGAATCAAATTTAAATTTCACGCAATTACTTTTTCTGTTTCAAATAGCAATCAAACAACTCTGATTCCGCCATGATTGTTTTAAGTTTTATATTATTTTTGCAGGAATCAAAAACCGAAACATATAATAAAAAAAATCTTAAAATATAATATATACAATGCATTCATAATGTTCATTAAAAAAAATGGAGACATCTTTTTAGATTTGTGTCTGTTTTCAAGCTGTAAGTGTTCAAAATTGTATCATAAAAACAACCATGTGATAAAAATTATAAAATATTCTTAGAGTTTACGAAAAGTAGAATAATCTCAATGCAAGTAATAATTTGCATATTACTGTATATGTAATAAATAATTTTTTTCGCAATATTTATCACAGTATTTATACTGTGTGTCTACGTTTTTTTCACATTGTTATCTAGAAATTTACGTGGGTTGCAAATTGTAAATAACTTTCTATGTTCACTTGGCAACTTACTTAAAAAAATCATGAAAATCAGAATTAATCTTGTGGCATGCAGCTTTTATATTTCTTGTCCTAAACATTTGTCAATATAAATTATTGATATGTAACAATTAAATGTCAACTTTTTGAAATAATAAAACTAAGGCAGCTCAACATGACAGCAAATGAATAATCATAATGTTCCTTTAAATGCGTAAGAAAACATAACTTTGTTGAATACAAAATCAAGTTAAAAATTTGACTTATTATTTTGCTTGTGACGCTTATTTCTTCTGTATTTTAAATACTTGAGGGAAAACTGAAAATGTATATAAAATATATTTTACTTGGAAAATAATCTTAATGTTTAAAAATTCAATTAAAGTATTTTGAAATATTTTGAAACTAAGAATATGGAGGAAGGGTTGTAAGTTAAAGCCGTGTTAAATATACGCACCTTTCCGATTTTAAAACGAAATCACTTCATAGTAATTCCTATTTAATTGAAAACAATCTAATTGATGAGACCAAACAAAAAATGTGAACTATTTCTCTCTCGCACGTTGTTGCCTATCTAGCACCAATCAGATGATTAACATGCAACGTAGGTTACATAACAAATTGGCCTGTAAATGTTCTAGAATAATATATTACTGCTTCACAGGATAAGCTTTCAAAATTGTTGCTTGTCTGATATCCCTCTATTGTATAGTTTGTGCTTTTTTATAATTTTTATACAGCTATGAAGTTTATATATAATGTCCCAGTTTAAGATGCAGACTATTATTTGAAGTAGTGGCTGCTGTGCATATCGCTTTTCGTTTTAGCTCAACTGTCACAAAAGCGACTTGGTGAGCATTTGTGATCGCTTTTCGTCCGGCGTCCGTCGGACCTTCCGTCCATTGTCGGTCCGTCCATAAACTTTGTTCTGTAAACGACATCCTCGCATAAACCCCTAAGCCAATTTGATCCAAACTTCACAGGAAAGTTCCTTTGGTAGTCAATTTTACAAATTACTCTAAGAATTTTGTTCCATGCTGAATTCTGGTTGCCATGGCACCGAAAGAAAATAACTTAAATTATTCTTATAAAATCGAAAGAGCTAGAGCTTAAATATTTGGGATGAAACATCATCCAGTCAGTGTCTACAAAGTTTATTCAAATAAAATCCCTGGGGTCCAAAGTGGCCCCGTCCTACGCAGTCATTGATTTTTCTTATATACTATATAGTATAAACTAAAAAAACGTGTTTAAAAACACAAATGCATAAAACATGTTGTAGAACGTGTCTACCAAGTTTGTTCAGATAAAAGCCCTATAGTAAAAATTGGCCCCGCCCCAGGGGATCATTGATTTTCTTAATATGTATATAGGGAAACAATTTTTTTTTAAACGACAAATAAGCTAGCGCTAATACATTTAGCATTAAACCACTTCTTGTGTGTGTCTACCATGTTTGTTCAAATAAAAGCCGTAGGGTCAAAGTGGGTCCCGTCCCGGGGATCATTGATTTTCCTTATTTGTATAAATCAAAATTTTAAAAAATCTTCTTCTAAATAGCCCAAATAGCCAAAGCTTAGATATTTATCATGAAACATCTTCTAGTAAGTGACTTCCAAGTTTATTAAAATAAAAGCACTGGGCTCAAAATTAAGTCAACTTTAAAAATTAAGTAAACATGGATAAAGGGTCAAAATTGCTTTCCTGTTTAGTACACAAAGTCATGTAGATGTTGAAATCACATTTCAGCGTTTATTATAAATAATATGAATGAGAACATATATTTTAAAAGTATTAGTGCTTGACAACATGTTTTAATTGCTTTATTTGACGTTTAAGACAATTTTGAAGAAACGGGTATGGACTTTAGAGAGGAAACACAAATATACTTAATTACAGAGCTAACACATCACCTACTACACGTTATATATTTAGAGACATCGTGGACAAACAGCGTTTAAATTTGAAATACGAATAGATCAAAATATAATGCTTTAGTGATAGAAAATTTCTTAACAGTCACTTAAAATGTGCTGACACAATATCAATGCCATCATACTTTAATACTTAAAATAATACTCACAACAGGAATACAGTATTTAACCCATTTTTTCTGGGAATCCCGGCATACCTTCTTATACCTACCCCCCTATCACCCCGTTGCACACAACCCGCCCGACATTTGCACTTTATTGTTCAAGTTTTGAGGTATATAGCCTTAAATAAGCTGTAGGATTTTTAAAAATTGCGTAGGATTTTTAAAAATTGCGTGTAGTAAAGAAGAGGTTGGTTTTTCCAAGGGAAAGGTCTACATGAAGCTACGTGTCTGCACAAAATTGTGCCAACTGAGTTTCATAGGGTATGAATTAGAGATAAGAAGAATCCCTAAAGAAAGCCCAACATAGCACATTTGAAAATGTTGCAGGCTCGGTTTGATTGAGCCTGTTCATGGAAGGTACTGTCAATTACAAACTACAGTCCACGCCCCCTAGCACCGGTTTAAGCTGAATTCAACATGAAAGTTCCTGTACTTCTTTACTTTCAACACAAAACAGTACAACAATACGTGTAGCAATTGTAAATATTAACTTATAACAACAAAAGTAATAATGGTCGGTCGGATACGAAATATTTTAACTAGAACCAGCCTAAGGCAGACAAATATGTTAAAACATGAAATTGTGACATAGATGAACATGAAAAAAAATCGAAATTTGATTATGTTATATTTTCGACAATTACCAACATAATGCAAATCTTTGATAATAAATAAACATAAAAATAGTTTCAAATACAAAACATACTTTTTACTTTTCGTAAATTTAAGAATTACAAAATGTCTGCCTATGTCGGGTTTTTGTTAGTCTAGCAGATTGAGGGGTTTACATAAAACCAATGCTTGAATTGGTTCACATATAGTTCTGCTTTATTTACCAGTGGGTCCACTCAAAGACATATACAAATATTTATACACAGTATACCACTGTACAATACCATATAATACTGTCTGGATCTTGTTTGACAAAACATATATTGAGATGATTTTAACAAACAAACAATTATATCTATAAAAATAAAACAACATTACATTCGTTATCAAACAATTGTACCAAATAATCTGTCGAAAAACACAAATTCACAACAGGACAATATATAAATTTATATATAAATAGATGATTTAATCATGTAAAAATTCGTCTATCCCTTACAGCATATATATTTGTGGGGATAAATACTATATCTCTTAATCTTACATAAATCATTGTCTTCAGAATCATGCATCTGGGGTAAAAAATATCGCACCTTGGAGGTCAAATGCTCTCATATTAGCAATAAAGATCAGACATGTTTTTCGGTCTTGTAAATTATCAATAATAAAGCGATCATTTTCATTACTCTATCAACTTTATATTTAAGGGTGCATTATGCCACATGTGTGAGGTTCCAGTGTTTTTAATGCTTTTATTATCAGAAGTATAGAAACATATAGAATACTTCATCTTCAAAGCGTCGTGGCAACGTCTTAGGTGTTTGTATTTCATAAACAGTAAATGAGATTTTCATTTACGTTCAGGGATATATAACAATATCTCATTTTGTAAAAATAAAGTATCACTCAACAACGTCAATGAAGTTGCACCAAGGTATGTAATATTAAAAATGTGCATCTAACTATCAATTGTTGGGAAGTCATTTTTGTAGAAACCAGCATTGACAATATGACAAAATTTTTAGGACAAGTTTTGAAAAAAGGCGACAATTGAAATGCAAGAAATTGTTAACAGAAAAAAAGTTTTAAATTATATCTCTGCAGATAAACGTAGTGGAAATACGGTTGTTTAAGCCCTTATTAGTATATTACAATATTTTTTGTTTTTGCTACAAATGTCAGCTTTGTTCTTTATTATTTTTTCTTGGTTATAAATTAAACGTTTGGTATTATAATTGTTTTATTACTTTGCAGACAACATTGGATATTCTTAAACTGGATATTGAAGGAGATGAATGGAAAGCAATTCCGCAAATATTATCGACTATTTCAAATAAATATATCAAGCAAATAGTTCTTGAAGTTCATTTCGGCAGACATACTAATAAGCTTAAGGACGATGGCTATAGGCGCTTCAACTTGAATAATTGGGGTGATACTGATTCATTTACGCAAATTAATGTTCTAAAACAGTTAAAACACCATGGATTTAATATATTCAAATGGGCAATCAATCCAAGATCAAAACTTCGACTTCAACATTCAAGTAAAGGCAGTGTTTTTACAATGCATATTATATCATTGAAAAATATCAATGTACTAAATTGAAACAAATAACAAAATCAAACATTTTTTACGTATATAAACTTTTAGAATGCTGTGCTTCACATGTGTTTATGTCTTTTTTTTTCGTTATTTACTTTTTTTGATTGTCTAACAAAAGAAATATTAAAACTAATACATAAACTAAAAAGCAAGGTCTTCATACTTCTGTGTGGAACATTTTTTATCATTTTTTTTAATTGCAACATCATCATTGATATTGATATTTATAATTGTATGTATAATGGTTAAATAATATATCACTTTATTTGAGTCTAATAATTTACAAGGTTAAAAGAAAAACAAAACAAAATATATTTACTCTTTAAAGATATATTGGACGTGGGGGTCGATACTTGTGATAGTTAAAAAAATACATATACATAATTTCTCGAATTTTCTTATTTATTTGACTTGTTCAACCACGTTTTATCTGAAAACATGAACAGGTCTAACACCACTGAAACAATACTTCTTTTAACAAAGGCTTCTTCGATTGTGCAGAACATACCCGATTTTTTGATCGGTCTCACCGATCAATAACGAATGTGAAAAAAAGTTTAAACGATCAATTATCATTTTTTCTGGCAATTATATAACGATGAGTACCAAACATACGCTCGTATGTACTCCAATGATCGATCAACATGAGTTATTCTCAAGACTCTATTCTCTCTCACTAGACTTATACTTAACTATCCAGAAACAATTGCATAATTGAAACTCCATGTAAATAAAAGATACAAATGTACATGTTAATATGCATTTCCTATAAGACTAAATCAATCTAATAAATAGTTTTGTTTTTAAACATGACCTTTTCAATTTCCATTCATCTAGTTCATTAAATTCAGGACTTGCAATTTACATTAGTCACCATAATTACACAAAATAAAGTAACCTTTGACTTTATACCTATACATATACCTATACATAGTGATTCCTAAGTTTTAGTCTAATATATACACAAAAGTGTTCCATGGCCTAAGTTCGTGTAGTAGATGTTCAAGTTGGGAGGAGTGTTTTCGATGACCAATTTTGCTCGTAAATCTTGTTGAAGAATCAAGCAATAGTTGCTAGTAACTCATTTATGCAAAAAGAATTTCTGTGGTGCATTTGATAATCATACCACTCAATTAAAGAAATGTTTGGTTCCGTTTTACTTTGGCCACTACAACGGCTGAGATTTCTTCAGAAAATTTTAGCAGCATAAACTGAGTGATCAAGTTGTTTTGAACATTTTGTATTATACATCAAGCATTTTGATAAACACATATTTTTATAAATTGATTTTAAGTATAAGTAGTTATGTTAATTACCATTTGTACGATTTCTGGAAACTTCTTAGGGCTTTACGTGAACTTAATTTCGCCTGAAACAGTCTATATCGAACCATATTTTATTAGAAATATTTTTACGAAATTTCACAAGTTTCAAGCATAACGTTTATATCCTGTGTGTAATCAACAATACTGTTCTCAATTTGTTTTAAGTACCGTGAATAATATCATTAGATGACATATCAAGAAATTGGGTATGATTAGTTGAATATATATACTGTATGTGTATTTAAATTCGCGGAAGCAAATTTTCGCAGAAAGGTCCACTTTTCGGGTCTATACAAATATTCGCGCTATTTTGAATGCTCAACTGCTAGAATACACTTGTTAATCTAATTTCTAAATATGTTTCATTAAATCAAACATATTATCATTATTTTACAACCATTTTGTAGTGTGAAGTATATTGTCAAATTATTTCTCCTCTTTTTTCTTTTACCTGTTTCAAATGATTTTAAAAATATATAAGATTAACAAGAGTATACTAGTTCTTCTTTGTTTTATATGAAAACAAAAACAAAAAAAACAACACATCATATGTAATAATAGTTACAAATTCTCTTATAAATTTCAGTTAATGTAAATGAATTTTATGTACTGTATTTGTAAATGTGAGAAAGAGACTAAAATAAACGGATACATACTAATAAATTTTAACCGACTTAGTGTTTAAAATCAGTTTTATAAACAGTCGATTTACTAGACTGATTAACAGTTTGCTGATTTACCAATGAAAGTAAATGTTTTACGATTCAATTGAAATACTGCCATCCTATTGGACACTGTCCCAAGTAAATCATTTCGTAAATGCTCAAAAGTGCTTTCAGTACTTTGATTTTTACATAATTCGTAAATGCTCAAAATGCATTTCAGTTCTTTGATTTTTGTAGTATTCTATTTTCATGTCGAACCGCAGTTTTATATTAAATCCAATGTAAATTATTGTATAATCTTTTTTTATAAAATTTAGAGTTATCGAGTGAAATTACTTATTTCAGTATTTTTATTTATTGCTTAACTTTCTTGGTATCATTCCAAACATTTTGATTTATTTTTCATAAAATTCGGTCCAGTATATATTGAACGAATTTAAATCTTCTTTGGGACTCGCATAAAGATGTGTAAAGACGCACAAGGTCATTATGACATACATATTTATTCTTGTGGTATAAATTTTTAAGCTTGCACAAGGTATTTTTTCTTTTCTTTTCTTCTTGTTTTATAAAGTAAATTTTAGATTTCTTTCAGGAGATCGTAATGCAGTTAAATTTTTATTACATTTTCGTTTAATATATTTTTTTTTTCATTTTGACAGTAATTTTTCGTCTTCTGTAGATTTATGACTCTAGTGCTTCATTCATTACTTGAATATTGGTAATCTGTTTATTATCATTGATAGTTGTTGTATGTATGGAAGGCCGTTTACGCCTTGAGTGCACAATATTTCACCATGCATATGTTTCATGTATATTTACTAAACTAAGTTTTCATGTTCCTGTTTAATACAGTAAAAGTCATTCATAAATAAATCTGTTGCGGATGTTCTTTTTTATAATTCTTATTTTTTAAGTAATTTTCATATCACTTCATCATCATCATTTATTTGTACGAATTAATATGGATTCGATGCAAGGGAGGATCTCGTCGATATTTAGGTAGCACCAGGTCTGGCTCCATGTTTTATATCTTTTAACGTGCTACGATATATAATCAACGTTGAATTTATTATACCAGTGTGTATGGTGTTCCATAAGGGTCATACTATTTCTAGAAGCTATGTTTATAGGAATCCGACAAAGGTCCGGCTATTCCAAAGGAACATACTTATACCCTTCTATTTGTGTACCATTGATATTTACTGTGTTTTATATTTCATAACTTCTACTCTGAGGATTCACCCTCAATTTTGAATCACGCATGTGTTCAACATAGCGACGATAGTGGAGATTGTGACATAGTGACGCAGTCTTGGATCTACAATCTGTAGACAGTACATAATCGACCTTTCTGCTTTGAATGGGTCACATCTGTAGATTGTGACGTAAAGACCTCATGTCCACAGTCTTGGATCTACACTCTGTAGACAGTACAGAATCGATCTTTCAGCTTTGGATTGGTCACAACTCGAGCATCAGTGAATATTTTTTTTGAGTTACGCCAACGGGAAAAAGTGCTTTTGGACAGGACATAAGAAACGTGGCACGGGACTTTCATTTATTTTTTTTTTTATATATTTATTCATATCATTTACTTTCATTATAAATAATCATTTATTTTTGTAAATAAAATGTTAAATAGTTTGTACTGAGTTGTGCTTTTGTTTATGGTAGATGTGATCAGCCTGTGTTCCATCGTAGTCCATATTGTGACAGACACAAAGTAATCTAAAACACTAACAAGGATTTATAACGGAGCAATACATTCATTGGTATGTTTAATGTTAGGTATGCAATCATTTATGAAATAAATTACAGCCTATTTTGTAATTGAACACGTAGACTCTAAGATCGGTAAGTTAATTCAAAGCTAATTTTATTACTTTGTCAGTACATACATAACTAATTGAATAAACCACGCCCGGCGAATAAAAACAGAGGAACTCTTGAGTTTTTTTATTATGCAGGACATTGTTAATGAAGGGATTTCTGCGGAATATTCATTTTATTGTAGTGACGAATTATTCTTCTAAAAAGAAAAGTTAAGGAATTTTACTTTAGATCTGTCAGTAGGTCTTATATAATAGTTACAAGTGCATATATCTCAGCAAAGTCAGATAAGAAGGAGAAAATCCAATAAAGATCATAAAGATTAGTTCATAAACATACCATATTGTAGTGAAACAAGTATATTTTAAATATATTTAAATGCGTTTGTCCGTATATCCCCCCCCCAGTGTCCAGAAATACAGGATTATTTGGGATACAAATTACACGCGTGGCAAGTAACAACAGTGTTGTTCATGATAATCAGTTTTTACGTTGGCAGCTGGTTATTTCGGTATCTCCATAAGAAAGTCACTTAATTGTGAGAACGAATGTATATTTGAAGACAAACAATTTCATGTTAAGTTAGCTCTGTTCCTTTATCAAGTAAAATAGATACAAGTACATGCGAGTAGTAGGAGCGTCTTGATCGCATTTATTAAAATTTTAATTTCATTAGCGCTAACAGTAAACAAAATACATACTCAACTCGATTACCTGATTTTTTAATCATTTTACTTTACTACAACTATTCATTACAATTTAACTATTAATGTATCAAACCGTCATAATCTTTTCTTAAAAATAGCCGTATATACTAAAATTACTTTATTTCATTACTTATTATACCTTCGTTATTAAAAAAATATAATAGCTATAGCGCGACCTTAAATTTAGAGTCATATTACCGTTTAACGCTAAAATCGATATCTGTGCAGCGAATGTTTCCTGGAGGTAGTTATTGGTAAAATCGATATATGTGCAGCGAATGTTTCCTGGAGGTAGTTATTGGATTATTATAGGAACGTTACTGCGTTTCGGAACTAATCGATAAATAGTCTTATAATTTAAATACTAATATAGACTCACGCGATGACGCATTCTTTTAATGATCCCTCATTAGTGAGTAACAGTTGACTCACGCGATGACGTCGTTGTAACAGGGCCGGGGGCAGATCCTGTGGATCCAGACATTCGCATTCTGTTAATGATCCTTCATTAGTAACTCACGCGATGACGCATTCTTTTTATGACCCCTCATTAGTGAGTAACAGTTGACTCACGCGATGACGTCGTTGTATCAGGGCCTGGGGGTAGGACCAGGCATTCTTCTGTTAATGATCCTTCATTAGTAAGTAACCGTTGACTCACGCGTAATACGTCATATACTAATATAGACTCACGCGATGACGCATTCTTTTAATGACCCCTCATTAGTGAGTAACAGTTGACTCACGCGATGACGTCGTTGCAACAGGGCCGGGGGTAGGGCCAGGCATTCTGTTAATGACCCCTCATTAGTGATTATTTACAACCAATTAATTACAAAGGTATTTATCTTATCTATAA